ACCTTGCAGGCTGTACAAAAAAAGACAGAGGACTGAATTTGGTTTCAGGGCTGGCTATAATTTGCCAGTTCCTGATACAGATCATTATTTAGATCCCATGTTCATTACATGTTGTTCTAAGACGGTTAGTTACAAAAATGTGTACTGAAAAATATACATTTCATATGTGTCCATTCATAAAAAAAACAGGTAATCAATTTTAAATGTAATGCTCACAGTAGTTGTATCTAGGTGGTGGCATTATAGGAATTACTGTATTTTCTCAATTTATGAAAATATTAGAGTTCAGAGAGTAGAGAGAATGAGAAGGAATGAATGTAATAATGAATGAAATATGATGATGAGATTCAAGAAATTCAAGCTAATAAGGCTTTTTTCTTTTTTTTGAGGTAAAATGCATATGACATTAGCCATTTTAAAGAATATACTTCAGGGGCATTTAGTACATTCACAGTGTTGTGCAAATCACCTCTATCTAGCTCCAAACATTTCATCACTCCAAAGGGAAATCTCATATACATTAAACAGTTACTCCCATTCTCTCCCTTACCCTAGCTCCTGACAATCACTAATCTGATTCTGTCTGTATGCATTTGCCTGTTCTAGCTTTCCCATATAAAGGAATCACACAATATGTGATCTCGTGTCTGTCTTCTTTCACTCAGCGTAGGGTTTTAAAGCAGTAATTAACTTCATTTTATGGCTGAATAATACTCCATTGGATGGGTGAACATTTTCTTTCTCCACTCATCAGTGGATGGACATTTGGGTTGTTTCAACCTTTTGGCTTTTGTAAGTAGGGCTGCTATAAACATTCATGCACACATTTTTTGCTTCAAAGCATGTTTTCAATTCCTTTGGGTAAAATACCCTCGAGTGGGATTATTGGGTAAAACAGCGATTCTATGTTTAACTATTTGAGGAACCACAAAACTATTTTCTGCAGCTGTACCATTTTACATTCTTACCAGCATTATTATTTTTACTCTCAAAAAATAAATTTTAAGAATTGGCTGGGTGCGGTGGCTCACGCCTATAATCCCATCATTTTGGGAGGCCGAGGCGGGTGGATCACGAGGTCAAGAGATCGAGACCATCCTGGTCAACAAGGTGAAACCCCGTCTCTACTAAAAATACAAAAATTAGCTGGGCATGGTGGCGCGTGCCTGTAATCCCAGCTACTCAGGAGGCTGAGGCAGGAGAATTGCCTGAACCCAGGAGGCGGAGGTTGTGGTGAGCCGAGATCGCGCCATTGCACTCCAGCCTGGGTAAGGAGCGAAACTCAAAAAAAAAAAAAAAAAAAAAAGAATTTTAAGAATTTCATTTTTCAAATATTTGCTGGATGAATTAAGTTTTTTACCCTCTTCAAATTTTGAAGCAAGGAACTAAGGGTTACAATTTACCTACAGATTCAATTTCTTTCCTTTTAAAAAAAATGTTATTCTCATCTTAGTGGGTATGAAATGGCACCTCAGAGTGGTTTGGGTTTTCATTTCCCTAATGACTAATAAGGTTAATGATTTTTCATGTGTTTATTTGCCATTTATATATTATCTTTGAAGAAATATGCATTCAAGTCCTTTACCCATGTTTTAATTGAGCTGTCTGTTTTGTTTTTAACTTGTAAGAGTTCTTTACATTCTGGATACTGGATCATTATCAGGTATCTAATTTGTAACTATTTTCTTCCATTCTGTATTATCTTTAAAAGATTTTTTGAGACAGGGTCTGACTCCATCACCCAGACTGGAGTGCAGTGGTGTGATCTTGGCCCACTGCAACCTCTACCTCCTGGGTTCAGGTGATTCTCATGCCTCAGCCTCCTGAATAGCTGGGATTACAAGTGTGAACCACCATGCCCATCTAATTTTTTGCATTTTTAGTAGAGACAGTTGGCCACTATGTTGACAGGCCAGTCTTGAACTCCTGGCCTCAAGTGATCTACCCACCCTGTTCTCCCAAAGTTCTGGGTTTACAGGTGTACCGTCTTTTAACTTTCTTGATAGTGTCATTTAATTAAAGCATAAAAGTTTTAGTTTTGATAAGGTCTAATTTATCTACTTTTTCCTTTGTTGCTTGTGCCTTTGGTGTGATATGTAAGAACCCGTTGCCCTGTTGGTAATAAAGCTGTTTGACTTTCTTATAATTCATGTGTTCACTGGCATAGCACTTTTAGTTTCCTTCAAGAACTTTTCCTTTGTATTCACAGTGTGGTTGTTTGGTACAAGAGGCCTGGCTTTTAGCCTGTCTCAGCTTTTGACATGCCTTCCTCACTAAGTTTAACCATTTTCAGGTTTTGACTTAAAGTTGAGAGACATGCAACTCTTCCTTTCACTTAAACATGTAGAGGCCACCATAGGATTATTTTTATTTATTTGTTTGTTTGTTTTTGAGACAAAGTCTTGCTCTGTCACCAGGCTAGAGTACAGTGGCACGATCTCAGCTCACTGCAAGCTCCACCTCCCGGGTTCAAGCAGTCCTCCCTGCTTCAACCTCCTGAGTAGCTGGGACTACAGGCATGCGCCACCATGCCCGGCTAATTTTTGTACTTTTAGTAGAGACAGAGTTTCACCATATTAGCCAGGCTGGTCTCGAACTTCTGACCTCGTGATTGATCCACCTGCTTCGGCCTCCCAAAGTGCTGGGATTACAGGTGTGAGCCACCACACCCGGCCCACTGTAGGATTATTAACTAGCCTAACTTCAACAGACCTGTGTTTCAGGAAGGCTTGAGGACAGGGAGAGAGATGGGGGAATAGCTGGTTGCTAGAGCAGTCAGAACACACACATTTATGGATTAAGTTTGCCAACTTATATAGACATGGTTTATGAAGCCCCAAAACAGTTAAAACAGTGACATCAAAGATCACTGATCACCGATCACCTTAAGAGATACAATATTAATAAACAATTTGAAATATTGCAAGAATTCCCAAAATGTGACAGACAAGAAGTCAGCGTATACTGCTGAAAAAAATGGAGCTGATAGATTTGCCCAATGCAGGGTTGCCACAAACCTTCAATTTATAAAAAACAGTATCTTGGGAGGCTGAGGTAGGAGGATCCCTTGAACCCAGGAATTCGAGGCTACAGTGAGCTATAACTGCACCACTGCACTCCAGCCTGGGTGACAGTGAGATCCTGTCTCTTTCTTTTTTTTTTTTTTTTTGAGACAGAGTTTCACGCTATCACCCAGGCTGGAATGCAATGGCACGATCTTGGCTCACTGCAACCTTCGCCTCCCGGGTTCAAGTGATTCTCCTGCCTCAGCCTCCTGAGTACCTAGGATTATAGGCATGCGCCACCACACCCAGCTAATTTTTGTATTTTTAGTAGAGACAGGGTTTCAGCATGTTGGTCAGGCTAGTCTAGAACTCCTGACCTCATGGTCTGCTTGCCTTGGCCTCCCAAAGTTCGGAGATTACAGGCGTGAGCCACTGTGCCTGACCGATCCTATCTTTTTAAAACAAACGCAGCATCTGCATAAAATGACTCACAATAAAATGAGGTATTCCCACATTATCATTAATGTTGACAGGAATATCTTCAAACAAGAGGGAAGAAAGTACATGTGTTTATAAAAGGGCAACACAACACATCTTTGTATGTGTTTTGATCAATGTCAGCATCCTGGTTGTCATATGATAGTCCTGCAAGATGTTGTCATTGGAAAAGACTAAGTTGAGAATAACACACAATGTCTCTATTATTCTTTACAGCCTCATATGAATCTACAATTATCTCAAATTTAAAAAATAAATTTTAAGAATTTCATTTTCAAACATTTATTAGATGAATTGTTTTTAAATCCTTCAAATATTGAAGGCAAATTAATGCTCCAGATTGTACTGTTCAGTAGGAATATCGCAGATATAGCTGTTTACATTTAGATTTATTAAAATTGAACAAAAATTTAAAAATTCAGTTCCTCAGTCAAACCAGCCACATTCCAATTGCTCAATAGCCATATGTCGCTAGTGGTTACTGTAGCGGGGAGCACAGATATAAAAAAAATTGAACCCAGTTTTGCAGAAATTTGTATTAAAAAGCATTGTTCTAAAGCATTACACGATTGACACCCTCACTTTACAGGTGAGAAAACTGAAGCCAGGAGACATCACTGTAACACAGCTCTGCATACAATCGTGCCCATTCTCACAGTACTGTGCTCACACACTTCTTTCCCCACATTCACTGCCACAGGTGAACTCTCAATGCATCATTCACTAAATTTATATAATTTCATAGGAATCTATCTTAAATTCATGACCATGCAAAGAAAAATCAATTTCTTACAGGTTATAAGATACTCGGTCGCATGCTGAATCTGATTAATCACAGACATTACCCTCAAAGCTATAATCAAACCATTCCCAAGACCCTTCCGCACACAATGCTAAATGCGCCACTAATAGCCTCTGTCACAGAGTCAAGCACAATCTGACGCACATCACACGGGCATGGCCACTGCCCCTCTGCTCCCACAGAGGACACTCGGACACGGACACGCGCGACCACAGACACAAACACGGCCGTGAAGAATGCGTCACACTTCCGAATACTGTGGGGCAGCAACCTGGTATCGTGGCCACTGCGTCACGGCCAGAGCTCTCTGTCAGAGAGAAATCCAGACCTTACCTGCCAGCCTTTTGCAGCTCTTCTATACCGGGACGACATTCCCCTGAAGGCACCACGGCAAGACTCAACCTCTTTGTGTGAGATTCTGTGGAATTTCTGGGGCGTTACTTGAGTATAATGAAATAGGGTAGGCTCAGACCGTAGCAGGGTAAGACCCACAGTTCGAGCAAAGGAGCCTCGGGGGTCGCTCCGTTCTGGAGTGCTGGACACTATGACAGCCGCTGGGCCTGTGCAGACACCCCCTCCCTCCCCCGCCGGTTTCCAGCTGTAGACTACGTTTCCCGAAGGTCCCCACGTCACTTACGCGTTGTACACTTACGCCGTTACGTCTTGACGCACGGAGCTCTTCTGCAGCCGCCAGGTGAGTGAGTGGCCTCACCCGGAGCGGCTCGCCACTTTTGGGTTGCAGCTTCGAAAAAGAAGCTCCTGTATAGTGTTGGGAATACCGGTGTCCTGTCTGGGGCTCGGTGCTGACAGGAAAGGGACAGTGCTGTAGGCTCATTACTTGTGGAAGTTGGCCTTGCGAATGCGGAGGGGTGTCGGCACCGTTACTTTGGTTCCGGGAGCGGCGGGTGCCAGTTGTGTTTCTCCTTTCCGAATTTTTGAGTGTGCACCCTGGAGTCCCTATCCTCGGGTAAAATCGGCACCATCACTTTGGGATAGGGAGCCTAGAGTGGCGTGTGTTACTAGTAGTGTTCCTCCGCTCTGGACGTGTGCGTGTGCGCTTGTGCGGCCGCGGGGTGGGCTCACCTGCCGCCTGGTAATGCTCCTACCCCTTGGCCCCTCCCGGGCCTCAGTACTCGTGTGACACGGACGGCTGAGAATCGCGCGGCTACAGCTGCTGCAGTTCCTTGGCAGAGAATGAGGCTCTTTTGAGGTTTCCCTGATAGTGAGGCTTTACCTCTGGAGGTGTCTTAGGAAAAGACCACTGTTAAAGATGTCCTATTCTAGCTTGAGAGCCCTGTGAGGAAGACTAATCCCTCTCTTGAGGTTGGTGTGATTCTAAATTGTTTTGTCTATTGTGAGAGCTCTGATGTTCTATGATCCCTTTTTCTTTTCTCTGTTCTGCGTTTTCTAAGAGAGGCACCGAGAGGAAAAGAATATCGCACTTCTGAAAGTCTTGTGTGAAGTTCCTGTTTTGTTTCTAACCTCACATTTATTTCTTTCCGAAACATTTTTTACCTTCAGCAACGTCTTCCTAACGAAGAACCAGCCATTCCAGTGACTGGTCCTTAGGCACCCCATAAATGATACTCTGGTGGGTCAATCAGTCTAGCTCTACTCCCCAGCCACACTACACCTCTCTTTTCCACCTAATGGTCTAAGGTTTTGATGCAAAATAACTATTTTTCTGGAGAGAAATTTGAAGACTTTTAAAATTTTAACTATTGTGGATGTTTTCAAGCAGGATAGAGAATACTACAAACCCTAACATGTCCAACACCTACCTGTAATTAAAAACATTTGTAAATACCTTTGTATCAATTTTTCACCCTATTTTCCTGTCGTATTTCAAAATCGTATTTTATCCTCCTATACATATATGACCAAAAAAGACATTATATTTTAAATTAACCACGATGCTGTTATACCAACATAAAAAAAAATAACTATCAGGGCCAGGTGTCGTGGCTCACACCTGTAATCTCAGCACTTTGGGAAGCCGAGGCTGGTGGATCACAAGGTCAGGAGTTCTAGAGCAGCCTGGCCAACATGATGAAACCCCATCTCTACTGAAAATACAAAATTTAGCTGGGTGTGGTGGTGGGTGCCTGTAATCCCAGCTACTTGGGAGACTGAGGCAGGAGAATTGCTTGAACCCAGGAGGCGGAGGTTGCAGTGAGCCAAGATCACGCCATTGCACTCCAGCCTGGGCAACAGAGCAAGACTCCCATCTCAAAAACAAACAAACAAAATTAACAAAAAGTTTGTTTCTTATGTTGATATAATAGCATGGTGGTTAGTTCATAATATGAAATAAAAAAATTTTGAATATGGGTACACCCCCATATTCAAATTTTCTCAATTCTTTCAAAGACATATTTTTACAGTAGATTTGTTCAAATCTGGATCAAGATAGAGTTCACACATTGCACTTGGTGGCCAAAACTCTTAAACTTCTTTAATCCATGACAGTTTCCCTCCTGTGTTTTGTTTTGGTTTGTTTTAATTGATGCTGCTGATTTGTAGAAAAACTAGATCATTTGTCCTGTAAAATATTCTGTATTCTGCTTTTAGCTAATTGCTTCCTTGTACTGTCATATAATTTTTTTCCCATTCCTTCATATTTCCGTAAACAGGCAGTTAGATTTAGAGGCTTGATCAGATTCAGATCAGATTTTCCCTAAATCACCTTTTTAGGGAAAAGTAATTCATAGTTGGCACTGTGCACTTCCTATTACATCATGAGGCCCTTACGGTCTGGTGTCCCACTTTCAGTGATGTCATATTGATGTGTTTAAATGTTGTTCATTTAATTCTTTCTTTTTTTGCACCTAATTAGCATGCATTCTCAGTGAGGGTGGAGGATATCTCAAACTTGTTTTTGACAAGGAAGAGGACAAAAACTCACAGGTATCACAATGATCTGTGGTCCTCCAAAGGGCCACAGTATATATATAATATCTATAGTAATCAAATTTCATGAGAGTGGTGGCTATTAGAGAAAAGTATCTAAAAAGGCTCCTAGGGATATGACCATGAAAAATTTTAAAAAGGATAAGAAGCACTGACCTAAAGGTTATAATGTCTACTTATGATTGATACCAAGATTCATTCATTTTTTTTTTTCCTCTGTCACCCAGGCTGGAATACAGCAGTGCAATCTCGGCTCACTGCAGCCTCCAACTCTTGGTTCAACTGATTCTCCTGCCTCAACTTCCCAAGTAGCTGGGATTACAGGCATGTACCACCACACCCAGCTGATTTTTGTATTTTTAGTAGAGATGGGGTTTCACTATGTTGCCTAGGCTGGTTTCCAATTCCTGACCTCATGTGATCCACCCACCTCAGCCTCCCAAAGTGCTGGGATTACAGGCATGAGGCACCACACTCTGCCCATTATTTCATTAAGGGTTACATAATGGTTATTTGTAAAAATTCTCTGTTCCTTCTGCATTTATTAGTTATGGTTCATCTATATATAAGAACTTTTCTTCATCAAGTATTTGGTTATCATAAAATACAATTTATGGCTAGGCTTGGTGGCTCACACCTGTAATCCCAGCGCTTTGAGAGACTGAGGTGGGCAGATCACCTGAGGTTGAGAGTTTGAGACCAGCCTGACCAATATGGAGAAACTCCATTTCTACTGAAAATACAAAATTAGCTGAGTGTAGTGGTACATGCCTGTAATTCTAGCTACTCAGGAGACTAGGTAGGAGAATTGCTTGAACACAGGAGGTGGAGGTTGCGGCTGAGATCCCACCATTGCACTCCGTCTCAAAAAAAAACCAGTTCGTATGGAAAGGCAGAATAATTGATTTGATTATTTCTTTTTACGTACTAATTTTCAGATAAATGAATTGGTGTCCTACAAATTTCTAAGGAGTTCCAAAAGTGAGTGAGTTTGATTTGAATACCATTTGTTTTAAACTATTGCTAGCATTATTCTTTTTTTATATCAAACTGCTCTTTATTAAGCCAGTGGTAGTCCTTTCCAGGCAGTTCCTATGTCTTTCTGACATGATGCTAGTAGAATTGATAGTGTATTTGCTTTATGGCAGAACAGATCCCAAGATCACCTTGTACATTTCCTGTGCCAGGCCTCAAATGAGCCATTTCTCTAAGGAGTTTTGATTCCTCTTGTGGTATATGGTATGCAGTGACCACTGCGTGGGCATTAGAGTTTCTCATTGCCATAGGGCTGTCATTTATTCCAGGCCATTTCATGGAACAAAGCTAATAACTTGTTTTTAAACTATAAATCATGAATCATGAATTTATAATCACATTTCAGTTCAGACAGGTAATAGAGTATTTTCTTATTTGATTTTATACTTGCATCTCTCTTTTATGCTAACAATATTGGTTGCTAAAACATTAATATAATTTATGTTCTTTATTCTAAAAAATAATTGAAAACAACAACTGTAACTACTGTTAAGATAGAGAATGCATTTTAGATTTCTTTTGGTTTTTATATTTTCCTATATTTAAGGTTCATGGATTACATTTGTTTATGCCTCTTTAATCTATTAAAAATCAATACTCACATAACAGTGGTTTTAAAATTTTTATTTTGATATAATATTACACTTACAGAGAATTTGAAAAAATAGTGGAAAAAACTCTCCTATGCCCTTACATATTCAGCAATTTTTAACATTTTGCTTTTTTTGTTTGTTAATTCTCTCTACATATATACTTTTCTTCTTCTTCTTCTTCTTTTTTTTTTTTTTTGAGATGGAGTTTCGCTGTTGTTACCCAGGCTGGAGGGAAATGGCACGATCTCGGCTCACCGTAACCTCTGCCTTCTGGGTTCAAGCAATTCTCCTGCCTCAGTCCTCCCAAGTAGCTGGGATTACAAGCATGCACCATCATGCCCAGCTAATTTTTGTATTTTTAGTAGAGACGGGGTTTCACCTTGTTGACCAGGATGGTCTCGATCTCTTGACCTCGTGATCCACCTGCCTCGGCCTTCCAAAGTGCTGGGATTATAGGCGTGAGCCACCGCGCCAGGCCTATACTTTTCTTCTGAACTACTTGATAGTAATTTTCAGACATCATTTTCCTTTGTCTATAATTACATTACTGTATTTTCTGAGCACAGCCACTATAACTGTAGTTCATTGATTAAAATGAAGAAATGTAGCAGAGATTATAATAATTGTCTAATCCAGAGTTCATAGAAGAATTTCACCAATTTTTCTAATTTTGTCCTTTTAGCCTTTTTTGCCCCTTATCTGGCGTCCAATCCAGAGTCATATCTAGGATCAAACATTTCATTTAGTTATCACATCTCTTTAGTCTGTTTTAATCAGAAACAATTCCTGGACTTTTCTTTGATTCTTTGTGATCCTGACCTTTTTGAAAACTACAGGCCAGTTGTTTTGTAGATTGTCTCTCAGTTTATATGTGTTTGTTGTTTCCTCATGATTCAAGTGTGCTTTTTTTTTTTTTTTTTTGCAGGAATACTACTTCAGTTCATTGCCCAGCACCTTCAGTTAGTTTTTTGTATTACGTATTCAGTTGCTTTTTGTATTCTGTCCAGATCTATAGGCATATCTTTAAGGAAGTTAGTCCGATAGGATCTTAATGGTATGGAATCAGAAGTCCTCTCAATTTAGTTTCAATTTGAATTTCTCTTATTTAAATGAGAATGAACATAGTTTAAATGTTTACTGGCCATTAACTTTTCTTTTTTGTGAATTGCCTGTTGTCCATTTAAAATAATGACTTCCTGTCTTTCTCTTGAATGTTTTCTCTTGATTTTAAAAATACAGCTCTTTGGATTTTAAGAGTCTCTGTTTTTGCTTTAAGGCTGTATTGCAGTGGCATCTTGGCTCTCTGGGTTCAAATGATTCTCCTGCCTTAGCCTCCCAAGTAGGTGGGACCACAGGCACCCACCACCATGCCCAGCTAATTTTTGTATATTTTGTAGAGACTGGCTTTTGCCATGTTGGCCAAGCTGGTTTTGAAAACCTGACCTCAGGTGATCCACCTGCCTTGGCCTCCCAAAGTGCTAGAATTACAGGCATGATCTACTGTGCCCAGCCGATTTATTTTTTAATATTTAGATTTCTTATACATTTGGAGTTAATTTTGGTATGTGGTATAAAATGGGGATCCAATTTTGCCTTTCTCCAGTAACATTTACTGAATAATCCATCTTTCCTGAGAGATGATTCTATTCTGTTACATAAATCTTTTTTTTTCCATTCATATGCCAATATTCAACTATTTAAAAATAAAATTTCAACTTTTAATTTTAGATTCAGAGGGTACATGTACAAGTTTGTTACATGGGTGTATTGTGTGATGCTGACGTTTGGGATATCCAGTTTGGGATAATCCAGTCGCCCAGGTAGTGAGCAGGGTACCTGAGAGGTGGGTTTTCATCCCTTGCCCTCCTCCTCCTCTTTGCTCTAGTAGTTGCCAGTGTCCGTGTTCTCATATTTATGTCCATGTGTACTCAATGCTTAGCTTCCACTTAGAAATGAGAACATATGGTATTTGGTTTCATTTCTGTGTTAATTCACTTAGGATAATGGCCTCTAGCCATATCCATGTTGCTGCAGAGGACATGATTTCATTCTTTTTTTACAGTATCCAACATTTTAATTTTTGTGTTTTTAGTAGCCATGTTGGCTGGGCTTGTCTCAAACTTCTGACCTCAAGTGATCCACCAGCCTCAGCCTCCCTGGGGTTACAGATGTGAGCCATCGCACCCAGCCAACCCATGTATTCTTAATGAAGATGATATTGCCTCCAAGGATGTGAAAATTGGTTATGAGGGAGGACAAAAATCTAAGATAGTACAATGGCTTGTGGTGCTTAAGAGCTCAACTATACCCAACAGAATCTTATTTCTCGTTATTATTATTATTATTATGAGACAGAGTCTCACTCTGTTGCCCAGCCTGGAGTGCAGTGGTGTGATCTTGGCTCACTGCATCTCTGCCTCCTCGGTTCAAGCAGTTCTCTGCCTCAGCCTCCCGAGTAGCTGGGATTACAGGTGCCCACAATTACGCCTGGTTAATTTTTGTATTTTTAGTAGCCATGTTGGTGGGACTGGTCTTTAACTCCTGACCTCTAGTGATCCACCTGCCTCGGCCTCCCTGGGATTACAGATGTGAGCGACCACGCCTAGCCAACCTATGTATTCTTAATGAGGATGATATTGCCTCCAAGGAGATGAAAATTGATTAGCAGGGAGGACAAAATCTTAGTACAATGGCTTGTGGTGCTTCAAAGCTCAACTATACTATAAAATAAGAAACAAAATATTATTTCTCATCGTCATTATTATTATTATTACTATTTTAAGACATAGTCTCACTCCAGCCCAGCTTGGAATGCAATGGCACAATCTCGGCTCACTGCAACTTCCACCTCCCAGGTTCAAGCAATTCTCTGCTTTAGCCTCCCAAGTAGCTGGGATTACAAGCACCCACCACCACCCTGGCTAAGTTTTGTATTTTTAGTAGAGGGGGGTTTCACCATCTTGGGCAGTCTGGGCTTGAGCTCCTGACCTCATGATCCACCTGCCTCAGCCTCCCAAAGTGCTCGGATTATAGGTGTTAGCCACTGCAGGTAGCCTATTTCTCATTATTTACCCTCTCTCTTACTGTTTTTTCTTGGTATCCCACAAGCAACATAGATGTTAAGTTCATAAATTATACATGTATCGTGTATGCAAGATCAATGCTACCAAAAAAAAAAAAGATCAGTGCTACAAAAAACTATGGCAAGTGGGTGGCTGTAGTTGGAGAACTTGGTCAATCTTGAAGTCATATTTCAAGAGGCAGCGTGCTGCATGCACATTGGCTGTCATGTGGATGTTGTTCGTATTTGACCCTCGGTGCTTTTGTGTATGCCATGGCTTAGAGAATTAAATTACAGTTAAATTAAAA